TATGGATATTGTAACCAAAAGGATTCTCAAAATCTGTGCACCTGACATTTGTACTACAAAAGAAGTAGTATATAGCCTTATGCTTGTTACTCAAATTATAAGTTTAGTTGTAGTAGTCTTTTCAGTCTACAAATTATTATATAAATTAAAGTAATCCTAGACTATGATTATTAATTAATGCAGTTATAGTTGTATGGTTTTATCACTAGTTATTAAACTACTATTCATTATATTATTATATTATTCACAGTGACTTTGATCACTGTGAGCACTTGACACTTGTACTGAAAAAGAACTAGTGACTGGAATCATTCATTAATTCATTCATCTTATAGCAATAAGTACATGATCAATATCTTAGTCGTATTAACTGTGTAAAATGCTATATTACTATGACCAATAGTAGAAAAGAAAAATTATACAATTTAATGTAATATTTAAAAACTGTTATATCACATTTCTTTTGGTCTGATAAGATGATAAGATGCTAAACTAAGGAAATGAACTTTGAACTTTTAATTTTCTAAATAAAGAGCAGCACCATTGACCATTCATCTTTTCCTCATAATTCTATAGACTGATTAGAGTGATTTCCTCATAGTACTAGGTCAATGGCAGGAAATATTCTACCTACAGTTCAAGCAAACCAACTAGGCCTGGAACCACGTGAAGAGCCAAACATCATTTTATATGGCCCTCCAGATGACTGGGGACATCAAAAAGAGAAAGGCTTTACTGAAATTGACATCCTATCAAGTCTACTGACCGGCCCTCAAGCAAAAGAGATTGTTCTTTTCAAGGAGGAAAACTTCACATTCGATATAGCACTAGCCACAGCAAGAAACAACTCATGGGAAGGGATACATCATGGAGCCCGCCATGCTTTGCAATTTGAAAAGAAGAAGCTAAAACTGATTGAGCTTTGCAGCAAATTGGGTCAACAACCAGATATGATGGACACGGCCCTAATGATTATGGATCGTACAGATCTGAGCCAAACAAAAATTTTGAGTAATCTTCAAGATGTACTCAAGACACCTGCACCTCCATCGGTAGATCTAAAAGGGAAAGTTGTCTGGTACCAATATCCGTGGACTAATGGAGAACTGTCAATAAAAGAAATAGCAGAAGAAATGAAAGATCAGCAGGAAAGAGACGACTACTTACTAATTGGGAAGCTATTTAATTATAGTGATTGTTACAGCACCCGTGAAGTTAATAGGCACTGTCATAGTTATAGATATCTAGGTGTTGATTATGAATTTGTTAATAAGTTGGTATCATATGGATACTCTTACCAAGGACAAGAAGAAAGTGCAAACTTTGAAGAGCAAGTGATATTTGTGCTACAAAGAAAGCCTAGCTCCATATTTGATTAGTCTGCTTCATCAAGAACTTAAAAAAAAAACTCAGACTGTTACTCAAATTAAAGCATTCATTCACCTTAATATTGTGTTATTCACTTATAAATAATTATTCAGTGCATATGTAATCATAACATTATTTCAATTATAAATACTAGTTATTATTAATCCAACCTATCATCCAGCATGTGATCAGTTTACAAAAAGAACAAAAGATGTCTGACTTTAGATATGAACGAGAGCAAAAACGAAGAAAACATGTACATGTATGTGGAATGTTGACATATACTAACGAAATCCCATCAAGCTCATCTAGACGGCATAGACCGAGGCAAATACAACTTGATGAAATTGATTTTCTGTCAAGTCTACTAACTGGCCCTCAGGGAAAAGAAATTGTTATTTTTGGGGAGAATAATTTCACGTTTGATATAGCACTAGCTACAGTACGTAATAATTCATGGGATGGGATAAGTCGTGGAGTGAATAAATTTGAAGAGAAGAAGCTTCGATCAATTGAGCTATGCAGTCAAATGGGCCGAAAGCAGTGCCTAAGTCAGACAGAAACTATGAAAATAATCCAAAATATGCTCAAGACCCCTGCACCCCTTCCTGAGGTAAAAGGGAAAGTTGTCTGGTACCAATATCCATGGACTGAAGGTGGACCTCAACTATCAGAAGTTATCAATGAAATGAAAGATCAGCAGCAAAGTGGTGACTACCTTCTATTTGGAGTATTAAATGAATCAAAAATTGACTATGGCATAGCTTCAGATTGGCCTTTCAACTCGAGTTTCAATAAAGTCACTTATGATCAAAGCAATTACTCCTTTCTTGGTGTTGACAAGAAGTTTGTCAATAAGCTCGTCTCCCATGGTTACTGTAACCATCATGGAGTCAACTATGATGAACTAGTTTTATGCGAGCACCTGACATTTGTATTCGAAAAGAAGTAGCAGCAGCAATCTGAAACTAGACAGTTCTGACTAGTCTAACTACTTCTTTGATGCATTAATCTTACATTAATTTGTAATAATTAAATCATCTTAATTGATTGATTACTTCGTCAAAGTAATAAAAATAGCAATGAATGATGCATAAGCAATGAAGAAATAATAATAATAATAATAGTGCTGTACAACTACTGTACACTGTAGTAACCATGCAGTCTGGTGCACAAGACTAGAAGTTACTGCTAAAGTATTATCATTGTTGTTTTAATGAATTCCTTTGCATCATAAAAGGAAGTGATCGACCCCAGATCAAGGCTAGGAGAGTTGGTGTAGCTTTGTTGATATCTCAATGGCAGAAAAGTTGTCTGAAGTTGAAGCAGAGCTGCCACAACCAGTGGTCTGTGGAGAAATTATATTTGCCGTATACAATAAGGGACAATGTTTGGTAGGTAGAGGGAAAAAAGTTGATGAGATTGACATCCTATCAAGTCTACTGACAGGCCCTGAGGCAAAAGAGATTGTTCTTTTCAAGGAGGAAAACTTCACATTCGATATAGCACTAGCCACAGCACGAAACAACTCATGGGAAGGGATACATCATGGAGGGTTTCATAAATTTGAAGAAAAGAAGCTAAAATCAATTGATTTATGCAGTAAAATAGGCAAACAGCAGCGTATGAGTGAGATTGAAATCATGAGTAGAATGGCAGATATGCTTAAGACCCCTGCACCTCCTTCTGAGGCTAAAAAAGCCGGTCAAGTTGTCTGGTACCAATATCCGTACAGGGAAAAAGAAGGACCATCACCAAAAGAAGCGATGAATAACGTAAAGGATTGGCAAGAAAGAGGCGACTACTTACTACTTGGAATAGTGTCCACAAGTACAATGTTAAGCTTCAAAATCAGAATTGATCAACACTTCACTGACTACATCAACCAGGAGTACCCTAATTATTCATTTCTTGGAGTTGACAAGAAATTTGTTGATAAGCTTGTCTCCTATGGATACTGTAACGTTGAGTGCAAAAGTTCTGATGATCAAGAACAAAGCAAGTTTGATAAGCATCTGACATTGGTATTTCAAAAGAAATAGCTTTAGAGCTAACGTTACGTTTTGTACATGTACATGTAGTCCTAGTAATTATTCATGAGATATTAATTATATAATTAAAATAAATTATTTTAATTAATTACCTCGTCAAAGTAATGAAAGAGAAGAGGGAAGTGGCCAGCAGGTACAGTCTCCTCCAGAACCCCCGCCAATAATACCAGACCCAGATCTGTTTTTGACCAGACCCTCCACTGCAACTCTACATAACCACACCCACTAATTAATTAACAGTTATTAAAATTAGGAGAAACTAACCGGCTGTGAAATTAAGCTCCTTTGAATCAGATAAAGGCACTAATAAAATAATAAAATAATAAATAAAATGAACATGTATGTAAATGCACATACAGATACAATTACATGTACATGTACTCACAGTTTAAAGGTTCAGCTACTTTCTTCAGAGACTTTGATCCAATGGTAGCAACCAACCAAACACACATACAATCCAACAGAGAAGAATCCTACATGATCAAAAACACCACCATCATGATAAATAAATAAATAAATAAATAATAACATCCTTCTCTCTCCCCTAGGCTACAAAACACCGCCATTATTATTATTATCAATAAAATTTTAATAATAATGTCCTTCTTTCTCTTCCCTAGGCTATACCTACCTCATAGTAAGAGGCTAGTATAGCTAGTAAAGGTCGCTCCAGTCCAATGCTGTAAGCTAGCAGTGCTCTCCAAGGTGAGGTGTGGTCCTGACACTGAAATAAGACCGAGAACAAGTCACTGGGTAAATCCTCTTGTGTAAGAGCAGGTGGCAAACCTAGAATTAAAAATTATTAATTATTGTTTATTGTTTTATTATTTATTTGTTTTTATTGTTGTTTACCCTCCAGTATAACTGAAGTCATCAGGACAGGTGATAGTGTCTTGGTAACGACTGACTCCGCCTTACTAGCAGTGGGCGTGGCTTCGGCTGGTTTATCGTCCTTTTTAGCACCGAGACCAACCTATGCAATACAGGAAAAAAAATATTAGATCACCCATTAAAATTTTAAATATAAAACTATTAATAAATCAAGATACCTTGTTATAGAAATCAGCTCTAACGTCTCTCGGCGTTATAGCGTCGTATTTACCAGCTGACGATTTCTTTTTTCCTTTGCCAAAAGACCCACCCGCATGCTTTCTCCTCCGAGACCGACTCCGCCCATTAGCACTGTGATCAGAGAGGGCAGGAGAGGAGGAAGTAGGTGTGGCCTCAATGGTGGACAGCGCCAACTGAAGATGCTCTTTTAATACTTGATCTGAGAAATGTTTCTCGACTACAGAAATTACCTAAAAAATTGAAAATAAATTATAATAATTTTTTAAAATTTTGTTCGTTACTTCTTGAGGTGCGATCTTGTGTAACTGGGCGTGGCAGAGCAGAGAAAGCCACTCCTTATTCTTGGCGCACTCAATGAGGTAGGCAGTGGAGGGAGGGAGTGAGTGATACTGACAGAACCTTTGAACTAGCAGCCAGACATTCTCAGCTTCAACGCTGTAACTGAACAAAAAAAATAAAAATACAAATAATAACATTTTTATGCCAAAATTTTATTATTATTATTATTATTATTATTATTATTATTATTATTATTATTATTCTTATTATTATTATTATTATTAGTTATAGTTGTGTTATTCTTACGGTTTGAATGAGTTAGATGTCACTTCATATTTCGTAGCTTCAATGAGATGATGAAGTAATACTGAGAGACAAGAACAACTACTCTCTGATGACTGATACAACTGAATGAACTGTGACACTGCATGAAGGAACGAAGAGAATATAAAAACAAGTATTACTTCATGTAATTCTTTACCTATTTTATTTTTAATTGCTTCGTTAATTTCATCAACTTCCCCCACACTTGGCGCAGCCTCTTCTGCCCCTCCCACTCCTCCAGTGTCCATTGTACCAGCATCCTTACCGCCAGGAACCGTCGTACCAGTCTCCGTACTAGTCCTGTAGTTGAATATTCTAATGGCAGCCTGTGTGTCTATACGGAGTGTGGTGGAGTCCCTACTGAGCATTTCAGTGAAGGATACACAGGAAGACACGAGACAGGAGTTGTTGAAGTCCGCCATAGCTAGTTGATAGACTTTCCTAACAGCTTTATCAATCCTGTGATAAGGAAAAGAGAAATATGTCAAATAGTGAAAAATACCCAAGGCTATAGCCCATGCTTTTTTCGGAAAAAATGGCTAAAAAATGACACACAATTTTTATTACATTTTCTGATACATATTGACGTACTTATGCTGTGTAGAAAGTTTGAGTTGATTCCGACTTAAATTTTTCGAGTTACGGCCATTTTAAGAAATAGGCCAAAATCTGAAAATTACCCAAGGCTATAGCCCATGGTTCTTTTGGAAAAATGACCAAAAAATGAAACCCAATTTTTGTTACATTTTCTGATATATATTGACATCCTTATACTGTGTAGAAAGTTTGAGTTGATTCTGACTTGATTTTTTTGAGTTACGGCCATTTTAAGAAATAGGCCAAAATTTGAAAATACCCAAGGCTATAGCCCATGCTTTTTTCGAAAAAATGGCCAAAAAAATGACCCTCAATTTTCATTACATTTTCTGATACATATTGACGTCCTTATGCTGTGTAGAAAGTTTGAGCTGATTCCGATTTAAATTTTTCAAGTTATGGCCATTTTAAGAAATAGGCCAAACTTTGAAAAATACCCAAGGCTATAGTCCATGCTTTTTTCAGAAAAATGGCCAAAAAATGACACCCAATTTTTATTACATTTTCTGATACATATTGATGTCCTTATGCTATGTAGAAAGTTTGAGTTGATTCTGACTTAAATTTTTTGAGCTACAGCCATTTTAAGAAATAGGCCAAAATCTAAAAAATACCCAAGGCTATAGCCCATGCTTTTTTCCAAAAAATGGCCAAAAAATGACACCCAATTTTTATTACATTTTCTAATACATATTGACGTCCTTATGCTATGTACAAAGTTTGAGTTGATTCCGACTTAAATTTTTTGAGTTACGGCCATTTAAAAAAATAGGCCAAAATCTGAAAAATACTTAAGGCTATAGCCCATGGTTTTTTTGGAAAAATGGCTTCAAAATTATGCTCTTAAGTTTTCAATGGAAATCTATACTTCATGTACATGTACATGCCTTTTATTAATGTTGGATTTGCTTGACAGTTTAGCTGCCACAAAATTAGCAAAAGCAAATGATGGCTGTCCCTGATAGAGGTAATAGGTGTAGGTCAGTTTAATGGAGTGAGACGAATGTTGAGTGAGTGCTGGGTGAGAGAAATGGGGCATATCACCAGAAGCTAAAGGAAAAGAGAGAGAAGAAATTAATATTCATACACTTGGACTATTGTAAATTATATTATTGTGTTTTAAATTTAAATGTACCATCAATGTCTTCATTAGCAGCTGCAAATTTATTACTTTTCTGCCACTTGAACAAACGAGATATATCAAAAGGAACAGTTCCCTAAAATAAAATAAAATAAAAAACAAATTAAATATACACTAATTCTCTCTCTCTCTTACTTTCAATAGCTCGTATAAGGTAACATCTTGGGACTCTGATGGTGTGAGTTTGGTTTGTCTCGAAGGAAAAATGGCCGCCTGAAGGGTGGGGTATGCTGCCAAAGATTGCTTGAGTAAGGTTTCATTAATGTACCAAACTTTATCGGAATTAGCAGGATCAATAGCCTTAGAAATGACAACAATATTTTTTAAAATTATTTAAGAATAACAACAACAATAACAATAATAATAACAATAAACAGCAATAATAAATAATAATGATAATAATTAGTTCTTACTTCTGATATAATCACAGGTGAGTACATCAGTGTAGCTAATGAAGTCAATATGTGACCAGATCTTATTCCATCAGAAACTGTCGAAGTATTAAACAAATGTTTACTGCAGGCAAGACTAGTGGAGAACACCCTCTCAGGCTCTGATGCAAGAGAAATGAAAAGAAAATATCATACCTTAAGCCTACTATTATTAGCGTCTACTAATTTTAGCGAAATCAACAAAAGTCATGTTTAGCGTTACTAATTTTAGCGTTTTAAACCAAATTAACTATAAATAATAACCATTATAATGAATAATAATTATTTTGGCGTCTATTTAATTTAGCGATTTAAAGCTCTCTCGCTAATATAGCTAAATTTAGTAGACGCTAAAAATAGTAGGCTTAAGGTAATTTAATGAACATGACTGACCAGTAGGATTAATGGCGGTCAGTCTACACTGTACCAGCAGCTGGACCCAGGAAGGTACCTCCTTTATATCCAACCTCAGCTCTGATATGGACTGGGACGTAAGACCCAACCTATAAAGAGGTGGAGTCAAGTGGGTGTGGTTCTTATAAACTGGGTGTGGTCTCACTTACTTGTAATGATCAAGGTATGTATAAAGTAGGCCTACGAACTGGTTCTGTATCAGATACTGAATGAATGGGACGTGGAACTTCTCAATTAGATCAGATCCTGTGAACAATGGGCGGAGTCAGTTATTAATTAGTTAATTAATACCGTTTGAAAGTGGGTGTGGCGTTGAAAATAGATTATGAAGGCGTCCGATGTGGTAGAGTATTTTTTGCAAGTTCATGTTTCCAGTATATCCTTCCCTGTAATAGCATTAATTACATTAATTATTATTTAAATAATAAAATTTGCATAGTTAACTAATTCTTTCTTATAAACTACAGCTACATGTATTTCACTTATATTTTAAAATTTTCTAGAGCTACTAAAACAATGTTTAAAGCAAAAGGTTTTCAGAAAAAAGCATGATTTTTTGCAGATCCAGCCCCACCCAAACATAATAACTAGCCCCGCCCACTAATCATTACGTCATGGGTGCAACCCAAAACAAGATGGCGGACGGGGAAGAAGAAGACAAAGAGACTGTAATGGCGACTCCAGCGGCTCCTGCTTCTCCTCCTGGTCCTTTAGGCTCCTTTAGGAGTATAGCAATGTTTGCCTATCAACCTGGCGGCCCTTACCCGAGCCATTGCGGCTACTGTCACTCGGCAGATGAGAGATTTTGCGTGGAAGGTCTATTCTCAGACAAAATGTCCGTACATGACTTTCAGTATCTCGTTGATAGAGGCTTCCAGCGCTCAGGGAAGTTCGTGTACCTCCCAGCCAACAAACTAACCTGCTGTCCACAATATGTACTGAGATTGGACTGTAGTACTTTTCATATTTCTAAAGAACAGAGGAGAGCGATAAGAAAGATGAACGAGTATCTTTTAAACGGGAGGAAAGAGGAGGAGGAGGGAGAGAGGTCTGATACTAAAGGGACTGAGATTAACGATCAAAATGAAGAGATGGAGGGTCTACCTAGTGAAGGAGCAACAGTCTCAACTCCCTTGAAACCAAAGAAGGTTGTAAAACCAGGAGCAGGAGCAGATCCTAACTTACCTCGCTGTAAGAAAGCGAAAGAGAGAAGGAGAGAGGCAAAGGAGAAGAAACAAGCTAAGAAAAACCCGCCACAACCTTTAAAACCTGCCCCGCCCACTGCAAAACCCAACCCTACCCATGTTGAGGACCTACTTACCTTACCAGATGCAGAAAAATGCAAGCATAAATTAAGAAAATCTTTATTATGTGTCAATCCGGTTAATGATGAGTTTCTCGACACCTACCAGCAAAGTTATGAGGTTTTCCGCAAGTTTCAAATGATAATCCACAAAGAACCGCCCGAGAAATGCGAGCAACAACACTTTGACCAGTTCTGTATTGACAGCCCCCTCGTACAGGAGGAGGGCCCCCCGGGGTCAGATATTAAATATGGGTCCTATCACCAACAATATTGGATCGATGATAACCTCGTTATGGTGGGTGTGGTCGATATACTACCCAGTGGGGTCCTATGTAACTATCTTTATTACGACCCCTACTACCGATTCATTTTCCCGGGGGTCTACTCTGCATTGTGCGAAATTTCAATGAACCAGACCCTCTACCAACGGGTCCCGGACCTAAGATATTACTACATTGGTTATTACGTACATGATTGTCCTAAAATGAATTATAAAAGGAAATACGACTCGTGCTACCTCCTCTGTCCTATAACCCACCGCTACGTACCACTAGAGATCTGTCGGAAGAAACTCGACTCCGCTAAGTACTGTCGGTTCTCTGACGAGGGGGCGGAGGTGGAAAGGGGAGGGGAGGGGGAGCTGGGGGAGGTACTTATAGCGAGCGATTTCGGAGAGTTTGGCTACATAAAGTACTCTTTGATAAGAGATAGGATGGAGGGGAAACTTGATGATCTAGTGAGGAGCTATGTCGGGATAGTCGGGAAGGATTTGGCACAAACTATGATATTAAAAATAGTCGGACTTTAAATTGAGGAAGAGGAGCATATAATAGTCTTCTTTCTCTCTCTTTAGTACTTAATTTTTGAACCCAGTTATTATTATAATTAAAGATTATTTCTATGAAATATTAATAATTAATTCTAGTATCTGCAAAGGAAACATACACTACATGTATATAATGTTGAGGACTCATTTACACAATTTTTGATTTACTATTTGATTCTTTTTATACTCAATAAGTATCTAGGCAATCTTATCATTTTTATGATTATTGTTATATCAATATTAAAAAATTAATCATTATTAAGTAATTATGTGTGGGTGTGGCTACACATACCTCACAAGTTGATCCAGTAGAGTATCCCGACAGTAGACATTACATGAAGAGGCTGAGATGAGAGAGTGAGAGGTTTGGTGAGAGAGAGAGGGTAGGAGAGACTGAGCTGTGTCCAAGTCATGATGCAATAAATAATAAGTGAACTGATCCTCTGGGGATACTAGCCTATGACTCTGAACTGAATCTGAGAGAGAGAGAGAGAGAAAAGAATAAAGTCTTAATCTCATTGCAACTTATTTCAACAACGTTGCTATAAAATACAATTATTCTGCAAGTATCTAATCTGTTAATATTGTGTACACAAGTGTATTAGTATGTACATGTACATTAAAGATTGGTTGGTTTAATATTGATAGGAGATTTTGATATCAAAAATCACTACATTTTAAAACAAAGCTCCACCAAATTAAAACACTATAATTATATTAATGTAGTTCTACCTTTGTTTGTTCCTGATATGACGACAGCATCAAACAGTATCCTCTGTCTCGTTTCATTGTTCCACCTCAGAACTGATACCAGTGGAGTCTCAAGATACAGTCCCCTCTGTGACTCACTGGCTGGAGATAGAGGATTGGAGACTGGTTCCCATACTAGTGGGTGATCCTGGAACCAAATTATGAGAATGAGATCAGCAAGCATACATGTATACACATGCATATCAACTCATACACCCAGTACATGTAGTCCACTTTTAATCTAGTCTTAGCATTTTTGATGTTTTGGAGGTTATACTATAGTACAGGGACTGTGGTCCAATTTTGAAGCAGCTTTAAAAATTTATAAGTACATGTACATGTGCATCAGAATATGTAATAAATCCTCTCTCCCTCTCCCTTACTCCTCCAAATGTCTCCGGGTACATGTCCAGTACATTCCCAGTGCTGTTCACTGGTGATAGAGTGGTCACTGGTGGATGGTACGAGTGGTCACTGGAGCTGTTATAAATCATCTTTGCAGTCTCGTAGACGTAGGTAGGATAGTACGTCTCTAACATTTTTAAAAACTCGAGAGCGTCTTGTTCAATGGAGGTCAGCCAGCCATTCTCAGTCATTAGCTCTGCCTACAAAACATTATTAAAATTACAGAAAATGTATAATTAATTACCAGAGTATCTCGTAATTGT